TTTGAAAAATAATTAAAACAATACTTTATTTTAGGATTTTAGCTGTAACTCAATTTTAAATGAACAAAATAGGCATAACTCTATTTAAATCCTTCATATTGTATCGTAGCTGAAAAAAAATTTCAATAATTTATTTAATATTTGATTTCTGTTGAATTGATTTTTATATTTATCTAAGTATATTCTAGGTTTATTCTCTATTAACTTTATCTAGATATTTATCCGGGCTCAACGCTACTGTTAAAGAGTACAACYAAAATGTGAACAAATACTTATTTGTACAATATTTACCTAATACCTACCTACCTTAAATTAGATACAATTAAATACAAAACAAGTAGTATCATTCAAAAATTAGACAAAGCAAATTTTAAAAACCAATATCTTGTATTAAAAAAGTTTTTTTTTTATATATACCACATTTATCTGGTTTAAATATTAAATATATTGAATTTAAAGCTTTGTCCAAGGATTTTTACAACTTATTTTAAATCAATTACCTAATAAGATTTACCATTTATTGTATTACAATTTAAATATTGKGCTTTATATTTTCTTAAGATAAATTTGATCAATCATATTATCATACAAATCATTACATTTTAAAATCATTGTTTGTTAATAATTATTACCGGTCATAATAGCATTGTTATATCATATATTATAAATTTGTATTATTTAAAACGATAATATTTTGATGTAGAACGTTTAGTTTTATGTATTTAAAACAAATGTATTTGATACAGTAAAACAGGATTTTAAAAATATATATGTAGGGAATAGAGCCCTGCATGGGCCTAACTTCTGAAGCCCAAGCTTACCTACTTACCAAGTCCGATTTTTCAGTAAAATATATGACCTTGAACATATTTTATTCGAACGGTTAAAAACCACTACTGTACAATGTACACTATTACCAAGTACTATCTAGTATCTAGTACCTACTAGGTAGTAGGTACCTAGTGACTACTACCTAGTACATGGACCCGCGTCAAAGCACCGAAAACCAACATCATACCTAAGTCTCGTATAAATTATTATAAAAATTATTTGTAATCATTATGAAAATGAAAACGATACACCTTACGATTCGACCACTTGAAGTTTTATTTCTAGTACTAAAGTCACTGTTATTATCACCCATATAACATATTTCCCATATAATTGTATCCGTGTGTTTCAATTTTTTGATAATTTAGGAGCACTAAAAATATTGTGAACACCCAAAGGAACCAATTGCTGAAAAAGTTTGATACCTCTGCTAAGTATATAGTATTTAATTCTTTATTAATTTCATAACTCACGATGTTTTAATTTAAAAATTATGTCAGCCTCAGTGCAACACCATTAATTGGTTTTGGTTACCTACACAAACGCTCTGTATAGCTAAAAAGATAATGTTAATCTAAAATCGTTTCAATGATTTTTGGAGTAATCTCGGTGTTATCTCTGTTTMAAAAATTACCATTATACATTTATACCTATAATAAATTATAGAATAATATTTTTGAGGGTTTAATATGGAAAAAAGTATTTTTAGGCGAAACGTTTTTCTAACGTCTAACCATCAAAAAATGATGTTTGTCGATTTCCTGCGACCATCCTTAGCTAATCATTAATGACAATTGTTAAATTAGGTAGTTATAATATTATTATAG